CGGGCGGCAGGTGTATTTTGTAGTGGGCCGCAGGTGTGCTTGCAGCAGGCCATAGGTGGGCTTGCAGCGAGCAGCAGGTGTGCTTGCAGCGGGCCGCAGGTGTGCTTGCAGCGGGCCGCAGGTGTGCTTGCAGTGGGCCGCAGGTGTGCTTGCAGCGGGCCGCAGGTGTGCTTGCAGCGGGCCGCAGGTGTGCTTGCAGCGGGCGGCAGGTGTGCTTGCAGCGGGCGGCAGGTGTGCTTGCAGCGGGCGGCAGGTGTGCTTGCAGCGGGCGGCAGGTGTGCTTGCAGCGGGCGGCAGGTGTGCTTGCAGCGGGCGGCAGGTGTGCTTGCAGCGGGCGGCAGGTGTGCTTGCAGCGGGCGGCAGTGTGCTTGCAGCGGGCCGCAGGTGTGCTTGCAGCGGGCGGCAGGTGTGCTTGCAGCGGGCGGCAGGTGTGCTTGCAGCGGGCGGCAGTGTGCTTGCAGCGGCCGGCAGGTGTGCTTGCAGCGGGCCGCAGGTGTGCTTGCAGCGGGCCGCAGGTGTGCTTGCAGCGGGCCGCAGGTGTGCTTGCCGCGGGCCGCAGGTGTGCTTGCAGCAGGCCATAGGTGTGCTTGCAGCGAGCAGCAGTGTGCTTGCAGCGGGCCGCAGGTGTGCTTGCAGCGGGCCGCAGGTGTGCTTGCAGTGGGCCGCAGGTGTGCTTGCAGCGGGCCATAGGTGTACTTGCAGCGAGCAGCAGGTGTGCTTGCAGAGGGCCGCAGGTGTGCTTGCAGCGGGTCGCAGGTGTGCTTGCAGCGGGCCGCAGGTGTGCTTGCAGTGGGCCGCAGGTGTGCTTGCAGTGGGCCGCAGGTGTGCTTGCAGAGGGCCGCAGGTGTGCTTGCAGCGGGCCATAGGTGTACTTGCAGCGGGCCATAGGTGGGCTTGCAGCAGGTGTGCTTGCAGCAGGCGGCAGGTGTGCTTGCAGCGGGCCGCAGGTGTGCTTGCAGCGGGCCGCAGGTGTGCTTGCAGCGGGCCGCAAGTGTGCTTGCAGCGGGCCACAGGTGTACTTGCAGCGGGCCGCAGGTGTGCTTGCAGCGGGCCGCAGATGTGCTTGCAGCGGGCCGCAGGTGTGCTTGCAGCGGGCCAAGAGGTGACATCTGGCAACTCCACAAATGAACATGAACAATTTCCTGGTCCAGAAGCTGACCAGGAATGGACAGGTATTAAACAAGGAAATTAGGAAGCCCGCTCCTTGCTCCAACTGTTGCCATGTTCTACTACACATTACAAAAAAGCACACACACACACACACACACACACTCACACTCACACACACACACACACACACACACACACACACACACACACACACACACACACACACACACACACACACACACACACACACACACACACACACACACACACACACACACACACACACACACACACACTCACACTCACACTCACACTCACACACACACACACACACACACACACACACACACACACACACTCAAAAAGCAACCAAAATTACTCCATAGCCATATAAGAAGGAAGATGTCGGTAAATGACCAAGTGACAAGACTGAGGAAAACAGAAGGGGCGTATACAGAAAGCGACAAGGAAATCTGCGAGGTACTGAATGCAAAATTCCATGGAGTGTTCACTACCGAGCCTGAGCAGCTCCCATTGTTAGAAGAGATTACCCAAGATGAAAGACTATCAGATATAGAGGTGACAGCAGAGGATGTAATGAAACAGTTGACAACACTGGATGCAAATAAAGCTGTTGGACCAGACAAAGTATCACCGTGGATACTTAAAGAGGCAGCGCAGGCTCTCAGCGTGCCTCTGGCAATGATCTTCAATGAGTCACTTATGTCGGGAGAATTGCCCAGTTGCTGGAAGAAGGCAAATGTCGTACCGATTTTCAAGAAGGGGGATAGGGAGGAGGCACTTAACTACAGACCCGTATCACTGACAAGCATCCCCTGCAAAATACTTGAAAGAATAATTAGGCTAAGACTTGTTGAGCACCTGGAGAGCATTGGGTTTGTAAACAAGCACCAACATGGGTTCTGGACAGGGAAATCATGCCTAACAAACCTTTTAGAATTCTATGATAAAGTAACAAGGATAAGGCAGGACAGAGAAGGCTGGGCAGACTGCATATTTCTTGACTGCCAAAAGGCCTTTGATACGGTACCGCACATGAGACTGCTATACAAACTTGAGAGGCAGGCAGGAGTAAGCGGAAAGGCCCTAGTATGGGTGAAGAACTACCTAACAGGAAGGAGCCAGAGGGTAATGGTAAGGGGCGAAAAGTCGGACTGGCGAACAGTAACAAGTGGAGTACCTCAAGGATCGGTGCTGGGACCAATCCTCTTTCTAATTTACGTAAATGATATGTTTACAGGAGTGGAGTCATACATGTCAATGTTTGCAGATGACGCAAAATTAATGAGAAGAGTTGTGACAGACGAGGATTGTAGGATCCTCCAAGAGGACTTAAACAGGCTGCAGAGATGGTCAGAGAAATGGCTACTGGAGTTTAACACCAGTAAATGTAAAGTTATGGAAATGGGATCAGGTGACAGGAGACCAAAGGGACAGTACACAATGAAGGGGAACAGCCTACCTGTAACGATTCGAGAAAGAGACCTGGGAGTGGATGTGACACCTAATCTAACTCCTGAGGCACATATAAATAGGATAACGACAGCAGCGTACTCTACACTGGCGAAAATTAGAACTTCATTCAGAAACCTAAATGAGGAAGCTTTTAGGGCGCTTTACACTGCCTACGTGAGACCCGTCTTAGAGTATGCCGCGCCATCATGGAGCCCCCACCTGAAGAAACACATAAAGAAACTGGAGAAGGTTCAGAGGTTTGCGACGAGGCTTGTCCCAGAGCTACGAGGGATGGGATATGAAGAGCGGCTGAAGGAACTGAACCTTACGACACTAGAGAAAAGAAGGGAGAGAGGAGATATGATAGGGACATATAAAATACTCAGGGGAATTGACAAAGTGGAAATAGATCAAATGTTCACACGTAATAATAACAGAACGAGGGGACATGGGTGGAAACTGGAAACTCAGATGAGTCACAGAGATGTTAGGAAGTTTTCTTTTAGCGTGAGAGTAGTAGAAAAATGGAATGCACTTGGGGAACAGGTTGTGGAAGCAAATACTATTCATACTTTTAAAACTAGGTATGATAGGGAAATGGGACAGGAGTCATTGCTGTAAACAACCGATAGCTAGAAAGGCGGGATCCAAGAGTCAATGCTCGATCCTGCAAGCACATATAGGTGAGTACATATAGGTGAGTACACACACACTCACACACACACACACACACACACACACACACACACACACACACACACACACACACACACACACACACTCACACACACACACACACACACACACACACACACACACACACACACACACTCACACTCACACACACACACACACACACACACACACACACACACACACACACACTCACACACACACACACACACACACACACACACACACACTCACACTCACACTCACACACACACACACACACACACACACACACATATATATATATATATATATATATATATATATATATATATATATATATATATATATATATATATATATATATATATATATATATATATATATATATATATATATATATATATACTGTATATATATATGAAGAAATTATTTTCAGCAATTTATTTTACATTAAATATTGTGAGTATCCATAATTAGGGATACGTAACACACCCTCACCTCAGGGAAAAAAAAATCAATTGATTTAAGATCAATGACATTTTTTCTGAAAGTAAGAATGTAACAAATAAAATGAAAATTTAAAATAAACATATCTCATTATGATGTTACATAATACACAAAACTCCTAGATAAAGCATCGTCAATTACAGTTTGCCATCCTGGAATATCCTTAATCTCAACACTGAACTCTTGGAGAAATAACGACCATCTAAGAGTCCTTTGGTTTTTAATTTTCATCATGTAGATGAAAACAAGTGGGTTATGATCTGTGAAAATTAACACTTTATTTCCTTAAAATTAAGCGTCAAATTTCTTAACAGATAAAATGAGACCAAGTGCCTCCTTTGCCACTACTGAATAGTTCTTCTGTGCTCTATTACACTTTCAACAATAACAGTATGCTGGGTGTTCAGTGTTATCAAGGCCGACTTGTATAACAACTTCACCAGTTCCCAAATCAGACGCACCAATATGCAGGATAAAGGGTCTGTTATACTGAGGGCTGGTAGAGCAGGGGACTTGGATAGTATTCCCTACATTACACACAGTAATCACAATAGCGTGATGCATCAATGAACAAATCCACAAGGGCCGTGAAGAGGATTCGAATCTGCGTCTGTGAGTCTCCCAAACGCTAAATTAATCGACTGAGCTACGACATGGTCAAAAGAGTTGAAACCGAAGTTATGATTGTTGGTGAGTGCAGGTATGATTGTTGGTGAGTGCAGGTATGATTGTTGGTGAGTGCAGGTATGATTGTTGGTGAGTGCAGGTATGAGTGTTGGTGAGTGCAGGTATGATTGTTGGTGAGTGCAGGTATGATTGTTGGTGAGTGCAGGTATGAGTGTTGGTGAGTGCAGGTGTGATTGTTGGTGAGTGCAGGTATGATTGTTGGTGAGTGCAGGTATGAGTGTTGGTGAGTGCAGGTTTGAGTGTTGGTGAGTGCAGGTATGAGTGTTGGTGAGTGAAGGTATGATTGTTGGTGAGTGCAGGTATGAGTGTTGGTGAGTGCAGGTATGAGTGTTGGTGAGTGCAGGTATGAGTGTTGGTGAGTGCAGGTATGAGTGTTGGTGAGTGCAGGTATGAGTGTTGGTGAGTGCAGGTATGAGTGTTGGTGAGTGCAGGTATGATTGTTGGTGAGTGCAGGTATGATTGTTAGTGAGTGCAGGTTTGAGTGTGGGTGAGCGCAGGTTTGAGTGTGGGTGAGTGCAGGTTTGAGTGCAGACACGAGTGCAAGCATGACTGCCTACCCGAGTGCAGGCACGAGTGCAGGCATGAGTGCAGGCATGAGTACAGGCATGAGTGCAAGCATGAGTGCAGGCATGAGTGCAGGCATGAGTGCAGGCATGAGTGCAAGCAAGAGTGCAGGCATGAGTGCAAGCATGAGTGCAGACACGAGTGCAGGCATGAGTGCAGGCATGAGTGCAGGCATGAGTGCAAGCATGAGTGCAGACACGAGTGCAGGCATGAGTGCAAGCATGAGTGCAGACACGAGTGCAGGCATGAGTGCAGGCATGAGTGCAGGCATGAGTACAGACATGAGTGCAAGCATGAGTGCAGGCATGAGTACAGGCATGAGTGCAGACACGAGTGCAGGCATGAGTGCAGGCATGAGTGCAAGCATGAGTGCAGGCATGAGTGCAGGCACGAGTGCAGGCATGAGTGCAAGCATGAGTGCAGGCACGAAAGCAGGCATGAGTGCTGGCGTGAGTGCACGCATGAGTGCAAGCATGAGTGCAGGCATGAGTGCAGGCATGAGTACAGGCATGAGTGCAAGCATGAGTGCAGGCATGAGTGCAGGCATGAGTGCAGGCATGAGTGCAAGCATGAGTGCAGGCATGAGTGCAAGCATGAGTGCAGACACGAGTGCAGGCATGAGTGCAGGCATGAGTGCAGGCATGAGTGCAAGCATGAGTGCAGACACGAGTGCAGGCATGAGTGCAAGCATGAGTGCAGACACGAGTGCAGGCATGAGTGCAGGCATGAGTGCAGGCATGAGTACAGACATGAGTGCAAGCATGAGTGCAGGCATGAGTGCAGGCATGAGTGCAGACACGAGTGCAGGCATGAGTGCAGGCATGAGTGCAAGCATGAGTGCAGGCATGAGTGCAGGCACGAGTGCAGGCATGAGTGCAAGCATGAGTGCAGGCACGAAAGCAGGCATGAGTGCAGGCATGAGTGCTGGCGTGAGTGCACGCATGAGTGCACGCATGAGTGCAGGCATGAGTGCAGGCATGAGTACAGGCACGAGTGCAGGCATGAATACAGGCATGAGTGCAGGCATGAGTACAGGCACGAGTACAGGCATGAGTGCAGGCATGAGTACAGGCATGAGTGCAGGCATGAGTGCAGGCATGAGTACAGGCATGAGTGCAGGCATGAGTGCAGGCATGAGTGCAAGCATGAGTGCAGGCACGAGTACAGGCATGAGTGCAGGCATGAATACAGGCATGAGTGCAGGCATGAGTACAGGCACGAGTGCAGGCATGAGTACAGGCATGAGTGCAGGCATGAGTGCAGGCAAGAGTGCAGGCATGAGTAGAGACATGAGTACAGGCAAGAGTGCAGGCGTGAGTGCGGGCACGAGTACAGGCATGAGTGCAGGCAAGAGTGCAGGCATGAGTGCAGGCACGAGTACAGGCATGAGTGCAGGCACGAGTACAGGCATGAGTACAGGCATGAGTGCAGGCATGAGTGCAGGCATGAGTGCAGGCACGAGTACAGGCATGAGTGCAGGCAAGAGTGCAGGCATGAGTGCAGGCATGAGTGCAGGCACGAGTACAGGCATGAGTGCAGGCAAGAGTGCAGGCATGAGTGCAGGCACGAGTACAGGCATGAGTACAGGCCAGGGGGGGGTCAGGAGAGGAGGGCAGGTCAGTCAACATACCAGCAAGAGACATCAACAACCTCCACCACACTATGTCCTCCCCTGGCTGTGTGTCCGTGACGCAGCGTGCGTGATGCAGCGTGCGTGACACAGCGTGCGTGACGCAGCTTGCGTGACGCAGCGTGCGTGATGCAGCGTGCGTGACGCAGCGTGCGTGATGCAGCGTGCGTGACGCAGCGTGCGTGATGCAGCGTGCGTGACGCAGCGTGCGTGACGCAGCGTGCGTGATGCAGCGCGCGTGACGCAGCGTGCGTGATGCAGCGTGCGTGACGCAGCGTGCGTGATGCAGCGTGCGTGACGTAGCGTGCGTGACGCAGCGTGCGTGACGCAGCGTGCGTGACCCCGTAACAACACACACACACCACTGCAGACATCAGCATGCAAGGGGCTAGGGAGCGTCCAGGACCCCGGCATACGGACGCCTCCAGGGAGCATACTAATACCTGTGGGTGAGTGAGGTGAGTACCTGAGCCTCACCTTAATGAGTTCACCTCTGATCCACCGTGGTGCAGCGGTACACCCACCGTGGTGCAGCGGTACACCCACCGTGGTGCAGTGGTACACCCACCGTGGTGCAGCGGTACACTCACCGTGGTGCAGCGGTACACCCACCGTGGTGCAGCGGTACACTCACCGTGGTGCAGCGGTACACCTTTGTAGTCCCAGGAGCCCATCTGCTGGAGGGCCCCGACGGTACTCGTTCAAGCACACACAGCCCCGGGCGCTGACTCAACCACATCACCTTAGACCCCGCTGACCTGACCTCCGTCAACCACATCACCTTAGACCCCGCTGACCTGACCTCCGTCAACCACATTATCTTAGACCCCGCTGACCTGACCTCCGTCAACCACATTATCTCAGACCCCGCTGACTTGACCTCCGTCAACCACATCACCTTAGACCCCGCTGACCTGACCTCCGTCAATCACATTATCTTAGACCCCGCTGACCTGACCTCCGTCAACCACATTATCTTAGACCCCGCTGACCTGACCTCCGTCAACCACATTATCTCAGACCCCGCTGACTTGACCTCCGTCAACCACATCACCTTAGACCCCGCTGACCTGACCTCCGTCAACCACATCCCCTTTGACCCCGCTGACCTGACCTCCGTCAACCACATCCCCTTTGACCCCGCTGACCTGACCTCCGTCAATCACATCCCCTTTGACCCCGCTGACCTGACCTCCGTCAATCACATCACCTTTGACCCCGCTGAAGGGGTCAATAACCCTTCTTCAACCAGGTATTCAAACGCCAGTACACTGTGGTCGCTCATTCCTACTGGGGCCTCAAGACCGACTTCTCTTATGTCGGAGTCGTTCAGAGTTGTAGCGAGTAATCCTTATACTCGCTCCATTATCTCATCATCTTAAGGGCGTAGCTAATTAGCACTAATTGCAGATGCTATAATCTCTTTCCTAATTACAGGTAAGAGTTCTCCCATCCTCATATCCTAGTTTAAAAAGGTCACTGAAGTCACCATATATAAGGAAGCGATATGAGAACAGACAACAGTGCAATTTCCAGTCAAGAATGTAGCACTCGGCGTAGGCAGTTCTAATCGTCTCCAAGACGCTACAGCTTCGACACAGAACAGGCAGCAGACCAGGACCACATCCAGCTACAACACTCTCCCACATAGAGCTCCGCGACTCCGGCCACGCTCAGCTCTCTGCTCTGCTCCAAGCTCCGTCTCAACGTCTACGACACTGCTGTATCCAGGACTACTAAATAAATATGAAACTCACTAAACACTGTATCTAATCTACCCAACAACGTAAAATAATCGTACGTTACAGAGTGAAGACTAGGTCGAGTCTCGCTGGTCCATCGTTTTCCCCCTCATCCTAGTGGGTTCCCTGACATGTTGGCTTAGAAAGTTTCTTGTCGCCACCTCCAATAGTTTGGCTCTCCACGTATCCTCGCCTCCATGCGGTTCCTTGTTCTCCCAGTCAATCCTTCCTTGATTAAAGTCCCTCATAATGAGCAGGTGGGATCTATTTCTACAGGCAGCAGAGGCTGCCCTCTCACTTATAGTGTTAACTGCCATGTTGTTGTTGTCATACTCTTGCCTGGGTCTTCTATCATTTGGTGGAGGGTTATATATTACTGCTGCTACTACTCTTGGTCCTCCCATTGTTATGGTGCCTGTGATGTAGTCTCTCAATCCCTCACAGCCCGGGATGAGCTGGGATGTGTGTGTTCTCACCTAGTTGTACTCACCTAGTTGTGTTTGCGGGGGTTGAGCTCTGGCTCTTTGGTCCCGCCTCTCAACCGTCAATCAACAGGCGTACAGATTCCTGAGCCTATTGGGCTCTATCATATCTACACTTGAAACTGTGTATGGAGTCAGCCTCCACCACATCACTGCCTAATGCATTCCATTTGTCAACCACTCTGACACTAAAATAGTTCTTTCTAATATCTCTGTGGCTCATTTGGGCACTCAGTTTCCACCTGTGTCCCCTAGTGCGTGTGTCCCTTGTGTTAAATAACCTGTCTTTATCTACCCTATCAATTCCCTTCAGAATCTTGAATGTGGTGATCATGTCCCCCCTAACTCTTCTGTCTTCCAGCGAACTGAGGTTTAATTCCCGTAGTCTCTCCTCGTAGCTCATACCTCTCAGCTCGGGTACTAGTCTGGTGGCAAACCTTTGAACCTTTTCCAGTTTAGTCTTATCCTTGACTAGATATGGACTCCATGCTGGGGCTGCATTCTCCAGGATTGGCCTGACATATGTGGTATACAAAGTTCTGAATGTTTCTTTACACAAGTTTCTGAATGCCGTTCGTATGTTGGCCAGCCTGGCATATGCTGCTGATGTTATCCTCTTGATATGTGCTGCAGGAGACAGGTCTGGCGTGATATCAACCCCCAAGTCTTTTTCTTTCTCTGACTCCTGAAGAATTTTCTCTCCCAGATGATACCTTGTATCTGGCCTCCTGCTCCCTACACCTATCTTCATTACATTACATTTGGTTGGGTTAAACTCTATCAACCATTTGCTCGACCATTCCTTCAGCTTGTGTGTGCGTGCGTGTGTGTATGTGTATGTGTATGTGTATGTGTGTGTGTGTAATTACCTAAGTGTAATTACCTAAGTGTAGTTACAGGATGAGAGCTACGCTCGTGGTGTCCCGTCTTCCCAGCACTCTTTGTCATATAACGCTTTGAAACTACTGACGGTCTTGGCCTCCACCACCTTCTCCCCTAATTTGTTCCAACCGTCTACCACTCTGTTTGCGAAAGTGAATTTTCTTATATTTCTTCGGCATCTGTGTTTAGCTAGTTTATATCTATGACCTCTTGTTCTTAAAGTTCCAGGTCTCAGGAAATCTTCCCTATCGATTTTATCAATTCCTGTTACTATTTTGTATGTAGTGATCATATCACCTCTTTTTCTTCTGTCTTCTAGTTTTGACATATTTAAAAAAAAATGTGTGTGTGTGTATTCTGTAAGCTGTGTTCGTGAGCCAGTTACAAGTGTAAATATGGGGTTAAGACTGAGATCATATGTTATGAAGTGTGAGACTTCATTATATACCGTCATCATGAAGCATGAGGGAAGCCGGGGTACTGTATACCGTCTACAGGACTCATGCTGCGGCCGGCCGACTCCCTCACTTGCTGGAGCCAGAGCCGGAGCCGGAGCCGGAGCCGGAGCTGGAGCCAGAGCCGGAGCCGTGCCTGATATAACACGACCCTCACGGTCCTCAGTTGGCATCTCTGGAGGAAGGTACAGGTGTGGACGACACGCAGGAGTCGGAAACTGGTGTCTATAGCAGGTGTGGACGACACGCAGGAGTCGGAAACTGGTGTCTATAGCAGGTGTGGACGACACGCAGGAGTCGGAAACTGGTGTCTATAGCAGGTGTGGACGACACGCAGGAGTCGGAAACTGGTGTCTATAGCAGGTGTGGACGACTCGCAGGAGTCGGAAACCCTCTAAACACCGAGCGCTGGCAAAGATCTACTCAAGTCAAGCGCAAGACTCCATAAAACAAAGAGTTAACGACGACTCGACCAAGCCAGCCATGAATACACACATTAAAACAAATTAGTGGCCTCAAGCTGCCTTCGTTTCATGACTCTGACAAAGGCTGCCGTGCCTCTTCCATCTGAGTTACGGGGCAGTTCAGGCCTGCTGTCGCACCCAAATTAGTCGACATGTACACTGAAACAGGGGACGGGGGCCGCGCGACACGGTCCATGCTTGGCTGATAGCGTCCTCGTACTGCCTAAAGGGTTCAGGTCGACGGGGTCCAGAACCGCTCAACTGGATCTAAGTCATTAAAACAGAGTTTAGAAGCGGTTCGGTGGAGCCCAAGTGCTATTGGAGAGGGCTATTGCCTCCTGGGCGGAGTCTGTGTTTAGTTCACAGCGCTGTTTTTCATGCTCGACTGAGTCACATATATGTTAAAGGAACCACATTTTTATTCGATATTATTCAGGATTTCTTCAGCAGGACCTGTATTAACTGGCAGAGGTTCAAGACTAGGCCACCTCAACCAGGCTAGGCCACCTCACCCAGGCTAGACCACTTCACCCAGGCTAGGCCACCTCACCCAGGCTAGACCACCTCACCCAGGCTAGTCCACCTCACCCAGGCTAGACCACCTCCCCCAGGCTAGGCCACCTCCCCAAGCTAGGCCACCTCCCCCAGGATAGGCCACCTCCCCCAGGCTAGGCCACCTCCCCCAGGCTAGGCCACCGCCCCCAGGCTAGGCCACCTCCCCCAGGCTAGGCCACCTCCCCCAAGCTAGGCCACCACCCCCAGGCTAGGCCACCTCACCCAGGCTAGGCCACCTCACCCAGGCTAGGCCACCTCACCCAGGCTAGGCCACCTCACCCAGGCTAGGCCACCTCACCCAGGATAGGCCACACAAAACATTGCAAGTTATTAAGCTGGTGGACTGACCGGTAATACCCAAGACTAGTTCAAGGAGGTTCCTAAGCAAGACGACGGGTTGTGTGGTGGTCAGTACTGGCTGGGTGGGGCTGTGGCGGGGCGAGGCAGGTGAGGGGCGAGGCAGGTGAGGCGGGGCGAGGCAGGTGAGGCAGGTGAGGCGGGGCGAGGCAGGTGAGGCAAGACGGGGAGGTGAGGCAAGGTACCGAGGCAGGGGGGCATCATCGGTGTTGGACCAAATACGGCCACAAGTGCCCAACCTCATCAATATCCTCTTGGTTTATCAGGACCCGCCACCATCCATCTCGGACCTTTGTCAATTTCTTGTTCATTACGAGTGTGGGTTGAGTGTCCCAGAGGGCCGGGTTACCGGATGGATGGTGGCCGCTCTTACGTCAACTGGGCGTTGCCTCCTCACCTTAATGACGCTCCGCTATCACAACCGTCCATCCTCATTTGTCTCGCTGCTTCTGCAGGCATTTGCTGGGTCTCAAGTTGCCGCTTCCAGCACCATGCCAGTTGTGCTGCTGTGAGTTTACCGGGTGGTGGCAGCTGTGTCTGAGTTTACCGGGTGGTGGCAGCTGTGTCTGAGTTTACCGGGTGGTGGCAGCTGTGTCTGAGTTTACCGGGTGGTGGCAGCTGTGTCTGAGTTTACCAGGTGGTGGCAGCTGTGTCTGAGTTTACAGGGTGGTGGCAGCTGTGTCTGAGTTTACCAGGTAGTGGCAGCTGTGTCTGAGTTTACAGGGTGGTGGCAGCTGTGTCTGAGTTTACCGGGTGGTGGCAGCTGTGTCTGAGTTAACAGGGTGGTGGCAGCTGTGTCTGAGTTTACCAGGTGGTGGCAGCTGTGTCTGAGTTTACAGGGTGGTGGCAGCTGTGTCTGAGTTTACCGGGTGGTGGCAGCTGTGTCACTAATACTGTCACTATGGCGGTGTGTCCACTCACAGGATGAGTGGCGCTGCCCAATACTGTCACTATGGGGGTGTGTCCACTCACAGGATGAGTGACGCTGCCCAATACTGTCACTATGGCGGTGTGTCCACTCACAGGATGAGTGACGCTGCCCAATACTGTCACTATGGCGGTGTGTCCACTCACAGGATGAGTGGCGCTGCCCAATACTGTCACTATGGCGGTGTGTCCACTCACAGGATGAGTGGCGCTGCCCAATACTGTCACTATGGCGGTGTGTCCACTCACAGGATGAGTGGCGCTGCCCAATACTGTCACTATGGCGGTGTGTCCACTCACAGGATGAGTGGCGCTGCCCAATACTGTCACTATGGCGGTGTGTCCACTCACAGGATGAGTGGCGCTGCCCAATACTGTCACTATGGCG